ATGATATGATTAGTATGATGGGCTTTTCAAAGCACTATCATCATGATGTCTGAATAACATTTATTTACATTGTACTGCCAGGATGCCATGTTGGGCACTGAATGGAAAAGTCAGTTAAGTGGTTATGAGACCACCTTTACCCAGTCCTTTTTCCTTTTTTAAACAGTGTCTCCTTAAGTTGCCATGACTGTTTGAATTTGCAATTCTTCTACCTTGGCCTCCCCCCCCCCACCCCCCCCCCCCCCCCCCCCCCCCCCCCCCCCCCCCCCCCCCCCCCCCCCCCCAGTTGCTGACATTACAGACCAACACCACCATACTGGGGTTACCCTTACTGTACAATATTTGGAACAACATATTTTCAGAATTATTTTGCTTTCACTCTGGTAGATTTAAAAATACTATTTTTTTAATGTTATTTCTTTATTTTCAAAAATATACTGTATGCCAGTGAATTTAAACTCTGTTTCTCAAGGCTTTGACAAATATCACAATTATATAATTTCTTATTTTGAAAAAAGAAAACAAAACCTTATTTATTTTTATGTGGTGCTGAGGATCAAACCCAGTGCCTCACACATGCTAAGGAAGCACTCTACTACTGAGCTATAACACCATCTCCACAGTTATTTACTTTCAAAGCTCCAGGCACTCAGAACTCTTTGTGCCTCTTTCTATGTGCCTAAAGAGATCTGGAATGTTCGCCTAATCATTGGGGTCCACTGACACAAATTTTAATTTGAAAAGTTGTGGAGGGGGGTGTGGGGAATGGTGGGGTATGCCCATAATCCCAGTGGCTTAGGAGGCTGAGGCAAGAGGGTCATGAGTACAAAGCCAGCCTCAGCAATTTAGCAAGGCCCTAAGCAACTCAGTGAGACCTTGTCTATAAATAAAATACAAAAAAGGGCTGGGGATGTGGCTCAGTGGTCAAGTGCCTCTGGGTTCAATTCCCGGTATCAAAAACAACAACAACAACAACAACAACAACAACAAAAAAAAAACAAAAAGAAAAACAAACAAAAATGTTGGGGAGGGTTAGGAATCTCTTAACAGGTTATGTTTGTTTTTTTTTGTTTTAAAGAAAGATTGCTTCCAAAGACACTGGATAACCTTGAATAGGTGTGACATTCCTTACTGAACTGTGGATGGGAATAGCTGCAATCAGAAATTTGAAAATGATTAATCATAGCTGAATCTCTCTCTCTCTCTCTCTCTCTCTCTCAAAGAGGATATAAATAAATATACCGAGAGAAAAGAGAATGTTTAGGTTTCCATACATAAAGATAAGTGCAATTTTAACATGATAAATTGTACTTGTCAAAACATATTAGGCAATAGAAATGATTTTTTTTCATTTTTAAGTTTAATTTATTAGGTTTGAGTGGCATTAAGATAAATACAGATTTGTAACTCATGTTTAAAGGGGAGTGTTAATCTGCCCATTTTTATATTATCTTCATCATAATCCTTATCAGTGTGAAGCAGAAACTTGAAATAATAAGTGAAGAGATGGAAAATGAATTAGAAGATCAAATAGCATTTATTAATTTCTATATTGTGGCAGAAAACATTTTATTAAGCTCTTCTTAGTTATAAGGTCCTTGATTGATTTTTTTGCATTGTCAATGGCCTTATGTAGAAAGTAGCTCTCCACTCTCAACTTGTTAAACTCTTTTTCTTTAATGAACAAAAAATGTATATGTTGGTTGAAATGAATTTTGATGAATTTTATTCATACCTCTTTTTTTGGGTCAAAGTTCCAATCCTTGACTGCAAAAATACATCTCTGAAATTCTGCTATTGGTACATTTCTTATGTTGTACTGTTTATAAAAAATCAAGGCCTAAAATTTAGATAACTGTCTGCCTTCTAAAGAGTATGCTATGGGGACCTAAGAAGAAAGAGATTAAAGTTAGCCTGATAACATAGGTGCTCAATGGAATTTCAGTGGTTGTGGTAACAGTGTTGATGAAGAGGAAACTAAACCAAATGCAGTCTCTTCCTAATACTTTAATCTTTGATGTTCAAGCACTACTTCATTAGTTTCACAAAGTCTTCTCATTCTCCTTTGTACCAGAGTTGTTAATTTTTTGCTTGCCTTAGGCTGTGAGTTCCTTGAGGGTAGTGGAGAAACTACAGTTTATTCATTTACACTTTCTTCCTAGGCCCTGTTCAGAGTATTTTTGTTCACTTATTCAAAATATGTTGATTAAGTCTCTATGCCAGACATTGTTCTGATTCAGAGAGATTTAATAATGACTACAACAGATAAAGCCTACCTTAATGGAGCTTACGTTTTAATTGTGGCAGACTATAAATAAATAAAATATGTAGACTATAAATAAATAAAATATTTAATGTACTACTTGGTGATAAGTTCTCTGAAAGACAGAGAAGAGGATTAGCGGTAGAATTTTGGGGTGTTTTTTCAATGGAAAGTTGCAAAGGTCCTGAGGCAGGAACATGCCTAATGTTTTCAGAAATAGCAAGAAGGTTAGTGTAGCTGCAGTACATGAGGTAGGGGGAAGATATAACAGGAGGAGTTTGGAGAGGTTATGCAAGGGCCCTTGTAGACCATTGTAAGAATTCTGACTTTTGTTTTGAAGGAAGTAGGATACTCTTGCTGTTTCTGAGCAAAGGGGAGACATGAATGGCTTGTATTTTAAAACTTTCATTCTACTGCAGTGTAAAGAACATGCCATTAGGGAGTAATGGTGTTAGCAGAAGTCAAGTCATAGAATTGGGGTTGTGTAGCTCAATGATAGGACAAGTATCTAGTATTCGGGAGCCCCTGGGTTTGATCCCTAGCACCACAAAATCAATGAATAAATGAAATTGCATAGGTGACTATCACAATAATCCTGGTGGGAAATGATGGCTTAAACCAATGTGGTAATGAGAATGTGGAAAGGTATGGTTGGATTCTGGATATATTTTAAAGGTAGAGCTAACAGTATTTACAGATGGATCGCATATGGGATTTAAAAAAAACAGGACTCTATGCTTGCATAATTATATCAAAATGGATTCTGCTGACATGCATAACTAAAAAGAACTAACAAATTAAAATTAAAACCAGGAGTCAAGGAGGACTTTGCTTTTGTTTGACTTGAGCAAATAGAAGAATGGAGTGACTGTCTACCAAAATAGAAAAGACAATGAAAAGAGCAGTTTGGGGTAGGGGTAGAAATCAGGAATGTGATTTTGAACATACCAAACGTGAGATACATTTTGGATAACCAAGTGGAGATGTTGAATAGGCGGTTGAATATTAAAGCCCATTGTTCAGGGGAGAGTTTAATTCTGGAGCAACAAATTAAGAAGTTCTGAGTATATAGACAACCTATGAACCATGAGATAGCATTAGATTTAAATGTTCTTGGATCGTCAGATGTAATATTGTATCTTGCTTCTAAGCATCCTCATCTCTGATGTTAATTGAAACCAAACCAGGTATTTACACAAGACTATTGCTGGAATTTATAGGTTTAATAATTAAGTAGTTTCTATAGTATGTGCCTATAGTTGTGCTAAGTGCTTTAGAGAATATGAATAGCCATAAGACTCAAATCTGGTCTTCAAGAATCTTAACATTTAGTTAGGGTGATAAGACCTCAACCTGTAACATTTGGTTCACACTACAAAGCAGCATGTACCATTTAATGCATATCAGTCAGTCCATAAAACTTTACTAAGTGATTTCTGTGTTCTATGTGCCTGCAATAAAAGTAATGGAAATTCCAAAAGTGAGATCCTGTACAAGATAGAGAATCCACTATCTAGATACCCTGAGGTTTCATTGAAAATATGTATGCTGAAGAGCTGAAGAAAGATAAAAGAGTCAATTTCACTACAAAATAGAATAATATTCATTTGGTTTCAAACTAGGTTGTTGTTGTAATTATTATTATTATTTTGCATCATACATAAGACCAGATTGCAAAGTTTCAGCAGTGGATGGAAATCGTGATAAATAATGTGAAAAAGATAAGTAAGAGCATTTTTACAGGGCTTTTAGCTTTACAGAGGACTTTGACATCTCAGATGGCACTTGATCTTCTCAAACCTCTCAGTGCTAAGTAGGGCAGATAATGCCTCTATTGGTCCTAAGAGCTTCAGTGGTTCCTAGCTCAGCATTCTGTGGGGAAAGGAGGTTCTTTCAGTGATTTATCAAGAAGTTTGATATTGCTATTTCTAAACCCGATTTAGATCCTGCTGTTCCTATACCAGTATTGTCACCAGAAGTGTTGTTTACATCCTCAGTACTATGAAGAACAAAAATTTACCATCACTTATTAAAAATGCTCTGCAGGCCTGAGGCTCAAAAGTCACAATATGAACACAAAGAGCCCAGTCCCCCTCAAGGACACTTCATTTCATGAGCTCTGGTTCTGCTTCTCTCACAGAATCCTTCCCTTACTTAGAGCCCCTGCCTTAAATGTAGTATTAAACCGGAGGCAAGAATGTGTTTTTTCTGAATGTAGTTCTCTTAGCAGTTTTTATGTCGAGTGTGGGTTGTGCTAGGTTAATATTTGCACTCCTGGCCACTTACAAATCTGATAAATAAATAAATAAATAAAGGTCCATCAACAACTTAAAAAAATTAAAAAATAAATCTAACTACTGACTTCAGCATTAAAAAACACATGTGCACTACAAAGCAACATTGTCCTTTATTTGCATTCAAATACAACTGTTTTTGAAGGACGCCTGTCTTTTACTTTGAGTATTTTCTGATGCTGCAACTTCCAGCTTCATCCTAAATGCTTGACAATGTATGCATGTAACACAGTGTTATTATTGCCTCCGGCTAGCTTCATGTCATCTAGTTTGTCTTTTGCCTCACTCCTTTGATAGTATTATCAGGACCAATTGTAAATCTGCCAGATGTGTTTCCTTGCAAAAGGACAAATCTAAGAAGGCTTGTGTTTTTCCTCTCTCTTTCAGGACTGCTTTCATTAAAGTACTTCTCCCTTTTTTCATGAAACTGAGCTTAATCAGAGATGGAGCAAACAGACTGCAAACCTTATCAACCACTGTCAAAAGTCAAGCATGAAATGGATCTAGCTTATACCAGTTCTTCGGATGAGAGTGAGGATGGAAGAAAACCAAGACAGTCATACAACTCCAGAGAAACTCTGCATGAGTATAACCAAGAGCTGAGGATGAATTACAATAGCCAGAATAGGAAGAGGAAGGAGGTAGAAAAATCTACTCAAGGTATGTTTTTATTGGATTTTTATAACTAATATTACTTCTCATTAGGGAATGTTTGTATGTTTAAAACTGTTTCAAAAACAAATTTGCTGATGTTAACTGGTTAATAATTTGCACTGCTCAGTGAATCTGTTTCATATGCTAACCCAGCAGAGGTTGTGGGTTACATGTGCTTTCTAAGGATTATGCATGAATTTGGGTGCAACAATCCTCTTATCAGAACATTCAAAATTCGTCTAATCCTACAAATAGCCATTTACAGACTAAAGGATAAATAATTTATAGTAAGATGAAAAGTAAACAGCTAAGTGCTTTTCAAGCCATTGCCTATATGGGACAAAAGTCTCAAATAAATATGTGGTTCCTGAAAAAGCTAGCAGGATAGTGGAGACCACCAAACAAAGGTCCAGAATGTCAATCAACATATTGCAGAAACCTTGTGCTGCACAGTCTAAAGGGAAAGTAAGAATTTTTGGAGCCCCATGCCTTTTTAATCATATTTTGGAGATTTTTTTGGACAGCCTTGCCTACTCAATTATGAATTGACAAAAAAGTTTCTAACAAAACAGGTAGATAGAAATATGATTTCCTATTTCTTTTCTTTTGATAAACAGTATCAGACACTATTTTAACTATATAGAAAAATGGATAGACATTGGCACAGATCATTTGTTATGAATAAATTATGCTGAGATTTAAAAAAATAGATTTGTTTATCTAGTTTGATGGTTCTGAAAGTGTGAACCCTGACCTAGCAGCATTAGCATAAATTGGGAATTCATTAAAGGTACAAATTCTCAAGCCCCACCCCATACCTATTGAGTCAGAAATGCTGGGTGGAACCTAGCAATCTGTGGTTTAACAAGCCCTCCAGGGGATCTGTTGTACACTCAAGTTTAAAGACCATTCCTTTGAAATCTCTTTTACTCAGGTGCATTGATGATTTCATCTACTTGGGTGATTTCTAAATATTTATTTTTAGCTTAAACTTCTTCCTGAATTCTAGTCCTAAGTTTTCAGTTACCTGCTAGACACTACCAAATAAATAACACAGTGACTACTTCATATCAGGAAATCTAAAATGGAAACCATCATCTTAACACCCTCAATCCCAGTCCTCTTTCCATCACCAGACTTCTGATAATGATGCCCCCATATTCCCAGACAACCACCCATTTTTTATATCTTATGAGATGCCTCATCCTTCAGAAGAATTGATCACTACATCTCTCAAATTCACCTTCCCTCCATTCTTATCATCCTTATTGTCATTATATTTTCCTAGAATGTTTTTGTTTCCTAATTGATTTGCCTGTATCTCTGAACATCCCTCTTAAATCCCCATGCTGTGCTGTCTCTTTTTTGGAAGAGAAAGACTTGTTTTGGCAGTGCTGGGGATCAAACCCAGGGTCTTGTACCTGCTAGGCAAGCGCTATACCTCTGAGCTATATCTCCTTTCCCAAACTCCTTCTTGGATTGTCTTTGCCTGCTATCTCCCTTTATCCACATCCAAGCATCTTTCAAGACTTAACTTAAAAAAAAGAATCCTCTGCCACAGAACACTTGTTATACCAGCACCCCTATCACCATCAATATCCCACTAGGTAGGGAATTTCTTCCTCCATGAACTTTAAGTATACTTTATTTGTAACCCTTTCCTATGTCTCATTATGATCATATATATCCTCCTACATTGTACACTCAATGAAGATAAGGATCATGATTTCTTTATTGATATCTATTTTTCTATAAACCTTGCATGTAGTATATGCCTCATAATTGTTTTAAGGAATTAGTTGCTATCAAATGAAATGCAAGTGCTTACAATGCTTTAAAAGAGGCTTGTCAAATATTGCCTTTCAAATGCAGTCATTACAAAGGAAAATTACTGTGTTCTAATTAGTACTGAAATCTTACTTAAATTGAGCTAAAGATTTAAGATATTCATAATAACATTTAAATATATGTTAAATGTTTGTGATATTAACTGTATTACTCATTTTTATCTCAACATAATTGGTAAAGCTTTTATACTTGTCTTTTCAACTAATGTATTTGAATCTCTCCTATTTCTTTCAACTAAAGATTATGTACATTTGTTCTAAAATAACTTTCTTCTACCTACCTGACTGCTGATAAATGTTTTCCTATGGGGATTTTTTGGGTTTTATTATGCCATGAGAAAGGTGTAGTTTTCACTAAACTATTTCTCCATAAATTTGTCCTTACAGAAAATGAACTCCTAATTGTGAATTATGAGTGTGAGATGTGGTATAGAGTGGTTGACCTACTATTTTGTGAGTTTAAGAAAGAATGCACTCTGGTGACAGTTCTGAAAGTATAAACAACTTTGTGCAATGTCAGTATAAAAAGCTAGCCAGCCCCAGATTTTGTCTGTGCATTGTGATCAAAGGAATTTAGGGTGAGGGGAGTTTGTCTTGTGTGATGCCAGACTATCAAACTATCATTCTGAAGCAATAAGCTTTTATTTAGCATTTAATATGTATCAGGGCCCTGAGTCCTATGTTAGGGATGAAGATTTCTGCTTATAGGAAATTCATATGTGTTAGAGAAATAGATGTTCAAATAAATCATTGTAATTAAAAATATAAAAAGTTCTAGCTGGGTGCAGTGGTGCATGCCTGTAATCCTAGTGACTCAGGAGGTTGAGACAGGAGGATGGTGAGTTCAGAGCCAGCCTCAGCAATGGTAAGGCACTAAGCAACTCAGTGAGACCCTGTCTCTAAATAAAATACAAAATAGGGCTGGGAATGTGGCTCAGTGATTGAGTGTCCCTGTGTTCAATCCTCATTACCCACACTCAATATATACTTCTCCTGCTTATTCATGGCTTTAGTTTTGTTTTGCATGATTTCAGTTATCCAGTCAATTGAGGTCCAAAAATATTAACCAAGAAATTCCAGAAATAACAATTCATAAATCGTAAATGTTCAATTGTGTGCCATTCTGAGTAGTATTATGAAATCTCCCACCACACTTCTCTATCTTGCTGAAAATATGAATCATTCCTTTGTCCAGTGTATTCATGCTGTATATGCAACCCATCCCTTAGCCATTTTGTAACTGTTATCAGATTGACTGTTGTGGTATTTCTGGGCTTAAGTTCAAGTAATTTTTGTTTTACTCAATAATGATTATAAATCATAGGATTAGTGATGTTGACAATTTTGGTATACCAAAGAGAAGTCACAAAATACCTCATTTAAATGAAAAGGGGAACGTTCTTGACTTAAGGAAAGAAAAAGAATTATATGCTTTGGTTTTTAAAACCTGTGGTAAGAACAAAGCTTCTAACTATAAACTTGTGAAGAAGGAAAGAGAAATTCATGCTAGTTTTCCTGTTGCAACTCAAACCATAGAAGTTACAGCTACAACAATGATGGTGCTAAGTGAATATAGAAAATACATTAAATTTGTGGGTGGAAGACATGAACATAAAATGTGTTCCAACCAATGGCAACATTTTCAGCCAGAAGTATTGAGCCTCTATGAAGACTTCAGCAAGGGATCCTTGGAAACAAGTGACACAAAGACATTTGCTGAAAGAAAGGAATAGTTACACAGATTCAGGAATAGGTTTGGACTGAAAAATATATACATTGCTGGAGAGGTTACTACTGTTGATGTAGAAGCTGCTGTCTTATTTCTAGTAGAATTGAAGGAGTTGATTATGGAGAAAGGAAAACTATTCAAAGCACCTTTTCACTTGTGGTAAAATTGGGCTTTTCTGGAAGAAGCTGCTCATTAGAACCTATGTTCATGAAAGTGCAAAGGAGGCACCAGGGCATAAAACATGGAAAGACAGATTAACTGTGGTACTGTGTGACAATGCTGCAGGTCATGAGATAAATCCAGGCACAGTGTACTTAGGAAGTACTCACACTTTCTCAAAGACAACAACAAAAAAATATATCTGTTCATGATCCAGCAACATAATCAGAAAGTGTGAGTGACAGCCATTTTGTTTATGGAATGATTCCACCTATTCTTTTCCCAGAAGTGAAAAAATATTTGGAGGAGGAATGGTTAAAATTTAAATTCCCATTAATAATAGACTGTGCACCTGGCCATTCTAAACCCATTTGCTATGAAAATGAAAATTTTAAGATTGTGTATTCTCATCCATCAACATTTTCTGCTTTGGACATCTAACCATCAACCTCATCATAACACAATGACACAAGATCACCCAAAGCAAATGATCCTCCTTCTGACATATCATCAGAAGGTTAGTAGCTTAACACTATGGCACAATGTCTGTCGTTCACCTCACTTCATGTCATCAAATAAGCATTGAATCATTTAACATCATTATGAAAGAAGGGTGAGTATATACAATAGGATACTTAGAGTGCACACACACGTATTGGCATAATTTCTATTACAGGATATTACATTTTTCCCTTTATTTATTGTTTATCTTATACTGTGCATAATTCATAAATAATGTTTATCATAGGTCTGTATGTTTAGGAAAAATAGTATATATAGGGTTTGGTGTTATTGAAAGTTTCAGGCATCCACTGGGAGTCCTGGAATATATTCCTCACAGATAAGGGGGAGCTACTCTATTGATAAAGTACCATAGCAGTACACAGGATAAAATAGCTAACTTCTTCAGGGGAATCAGTGTCTTTAAAAAGGTGATATTTGATCTAGGTCTTAAATTTTGAATGAGCATTTTACCAGGAGGACATTCCAAAAGGGTAGATTAGCAGGTGAAAAGTACAAAGCCATGAAAAGGTCTGAAAAGATGAAACATTCAATATGAATATAGCTAGAGCAAGGTACATTTGAGCCAGATCATGAAGTCTGGCTCATTTGGCATGATTTTTCATTTTTCTTTTCTTTCTTTTTTTTCTTTGCCTTTAAGAATGAAAAAATAAAACCATTCAATTGATGGAGAATTCCATCATGAATTATAATTTTTGGAATAAGAGTTGTACAGGAAATTTGTATAAGTATAGGCAGCAAAGCAGAAG